TTGGCTGTATGTGGTTCTTGCAGAACATTATGTGGAGTGGAGTGTGCCACATGCCGCTGCCAGAAAAAAGATGTGGCAACTCAACTTTGACTGACCATGTCAGAAAAAGAATCAATAAAAAATCAGGAATGAGAGTCCTGTATGACTGACTACGGATTTTTCCATGGTGCGCGCAAAGTGTTTTATTCACTGTAGATCTATATGTTAACCTCAAAATCAGAGGTCGGAGCTGGAAATGATACCAAAGTTGATTGCGTTCCAGTACAACAAGTCGGAAAACCAAGATGTTGTTAGCAATACCAGTTGATAACAACACATGATGCTGCATTTTGCACTTACAAACCTTGTAGCAACATGTACACAGATAGAAGTTGGACAGGATTGTGTGTATGGCCGTTTTAGTGAGACACAAATAAGACAGACTAGGGCTGTGCAATATGACGATATATATCGTGTGATGAGAGAAAAATGTCTGTCGTTTCATATTTTCCTCTATCGTTTATATCGTTGTGACGCAAATTACACTTTTTAAGGCAATATTTTTCATCATTTGGAGTCTGTCCATCTTTTGCATGGATGCCGGTGGAGGGGGCAAATTTTTATTCATTGGATTAAAATGTGCTATATCGTGATATGTATCGTTATCAGGATATGAAATGACCTATATCGTGATATGAGATTTTGGTTATATCGCCCAGCCCTAAGACAGACATGCTAATAAACTGTACATTACTACAGCTTTCCCTACCGTTGATACCCGCAGCAGCCATATTGGATCATGAGATTGGGGTTGGTGAGGATCCTCAAATGGAATGCACCCACTTACTGCACGATCCAAATCTTCATTTTCAGCATGAATGTTGTTAGCTCTAGATAGTTGTTTGTTGTTAACCATTGCAAAGGGGATTTAGAAACAATAACACAGATTGAGAAAGTGGGGGAAATACCGGCCTAAATCAGCCCGCCAGTGGCAGTTTATAGCCACAGTCTACATCCCGTGAGTGTGACTATGCACTGATAAACATGAAGTTAATCACTAGCACAATATGTTAATGTTTAAAATGAGGGACTTACTGTAGTTAAAGTTCTTTAAACTTTCTAGAAATCTAAAATGTGCGTCAGCAGCGATTTTATTAACGTCCCCAGCTATCCTCTATTATCAATTGTGTGTACTCTCTTCTGTGGAGCAGGCAAAAGGCTGTACTGAATTATTTACAGAGAATGAGTGGGTGAGAGGTGTGGGACTGATTAGGGAGTGACACAGAGGATGGCTAAATCTCAGTCCTCTTCAAAAGTCTGCTTAGGAAGCAGTTTCAAATTCAAATTTTAAAAAGGACCTTTTCACAAAGTGACAGCGGTGCACTCCTCCCCGCAATGATTTGCAGTCACCTTTCCACTGTAATTCACTTTTCTTTGTTTCCTGCGTGTTCAATCTAAAAACAAAAATTTCTTCCAACGAATGTAACAAGCAGAAACACGCACAGCTCAATAAGCAAATATCAAAGTAATTTGATTTCGGCCTCTTTTTCCCTAGAAGTATTTGTCATTTCTGTCTGCAACAGGAGTCTTTCATATAGCAAGGGATACACATAGGGAAGTTGCACTTGGATGAAAATTCAATCCCAGACCATCATCCTGAATTATTCAAAACTCCATATCAAATTTCCTTTATCCGGTCCCTGAGACCAGGGTAACAGTTTTAGGGGGAAGACAATGTTAACATTTTGACATTTGAGTGCCAGTCCACACTTTAAAAATGCAGCAGCAAGCCAAGCAAGGCACTGCTATGTGCTATCACTTTACCTCTAATTCACCGGCGTGTGCCGAGGATGAATAATTCACAACTTGCACCACATTCATGGCTTTAAAGAAAGAATCCCCCTTACAACAATGACCTCTAAATACACCTTAAACACATTAACTGTATGCTTTTGGCCCCTCAACCACACATCCATCTACCTCAAGGTACACAGTGGTCAATTTTTGCACCTTGACTTTACAAAAATGGGCCTTTAGTTTGAAACTTTACAGAAAAAAAAGACATCTGATAAGTTTTCCAATACACAATAAAAGGTTTCCAGGAATTTCAGTGATCCCTACCAATGTCTAGACAAAAAGTATAAAGCTACAAATCAAAAACAGCTGCAGTATTTATTATTTATTTTGCAGCTATTCATATGCCTTTTCAGCTCCCTGCTTCCACACACACTTCCACAAATGACCAACACACACACACACACACACACACACACACACACACACACACACACACACACACACACACACAGGATGCCTTTGAGTGATTTCACCTCCTGTTTGTTCATAACAACTCCCAACAACTTCCACTGTGTCTCGTGTGCAAGTGTGAAAGCTCTGCATCCTGCCTGAGATGCTGACAATGAAACACAAGGTGGGGCCTTCCGTAAATCCACGACAGCAGTCATGTTCCTGTCCTCCTTTTTTTCCATTTCATTAGATAAACACATGGCTTACACATCCTCAAAAAGGGAGTCAATGTAGGCTACGCAGTACAGACTGATGTGAAACATAAAAGACATCTTTTACTTCACGCTAGGCACATTATCACTTTATGTTATCAAATAAAACACCAGTATTTCAAACAAGAGGTAGGGGACCAGAAAGGCAAAGGATAATAACACCAAGAGTAATTAGTCAATCAGTCAGGACATGACAGTCTAATCTTACTCTCTTACTGCAAACTTAACATATCTGGGTTTTGAAATGTTGGTTGGACAAAATGAGCAATTTGGAGACAGCACCTTGGGCTCTGAGAACTAGTGATGAAAATGTTTCAGCCCTAAGACAGACATGCTAATAAACTGTATATTACTACAGCTTTCACTACCGTTGATGCCAGCAGCAGCCATATTGGATCATGAGATTGGGGTTGGTGAGGATCCTCAAATGGAACGCACCAACTTACTGCACGATCCAAATCTTCATTTTCAGCATGAATGTTGTTAGCTCTGAGATAGTTGTTTGTTGTTAACCATTGCAAAGGGGATTTAGAAACAATAACACAGATTGAGAAAGTGGGGGAAATACCGGCCTAAATCAGCCCGCCAGTGGCAGTTTATAGCCACAGTCTACATCCCGTGAGTGTGACTATGCACTGATAAACATGAAGTTAATCACTAGCACAATATGTTAATGTTTAAACACCAAGAGCAATTAGTCAATCAGTCAGTACATGACAGTCTAATCTTACTCTCCTACTGCAAACTTAACATATCTGGGTTTTGAAATGTTGGTTGGACAAAACGAGCAATTTGGAGACAGCACCTTGGGCTCTGAGAACTAGTGATGAAAATGTTTCACTTCTATGACATGTTGTGAACTAGAAATAAATCTGCAGGTTAAGTGATGTTGAAAACACACTTTGTCACATCCCCAGGACGTCACACAGTGATGCTCTGTCTGTCAGCGTCTGATACTGACACTCGAGGCACCCTTCAGCTTCTGTATAAGATGCACCAGGCCTTCAATTCCAATGTGAACCTTCCATGGCAATATTAGACGCCTAGAGCAAGTGACATAGTATAAAGAGCGAAACGTCCACACAGAGAGGAGGTTGGGGTGGACAGGTGTGTGAAAAACAAACAGGACTTTCACCCAGTAGGCCGCTGTTCATGTCCCATGTGAACCCAAAAGTCAGCGTCATTTTAACCCAAGGCATAATCTTTTCCTAGCAAAGTAGTTTAGATGCTGAAACCTACATTTCCTGTGAACATGCAAGTTTATTTTGAAAACGCACCGTATGCATGTAACAAGTGGAAACTGACAAGTAAAAAACTGACGCTACAGAGGAACCTTGAGCATCACAGTTTGAAGTGCAAGGGCCACTGACCAAGCTGTCATATTTGTCGAGTTGGGAGTGAGAATGTGTTGGTTAACAAGCCGTAGGAACTATAGTCACAGTATGCCTGTACAGCTCCAAAACAATCTTTAATCTACAACACGTGGTTGTGCATTTTGGATTACTTATAAATACAAGCTGTATCATCTTTTACTACATCAGAGTCAAGAAGAAAAGTAAGTCATATTCACCAGTTCACTTCTGTTACTTAAGACATGAAATACAAGACTGTACAACAGCCTCTGTGTGATACTTATACTGATGTAAAGCACTTTGTGGACCCTTTTCATACCCCCTGTTTGAATCTTGTACAGTCATAATGTTAATTGTACATACTTTTTTTCTGGTCTTGAATGTTCATTTCATAAAATAGCCTGCTTTTGATCCCTTTCTGTAAAGCACTTATTCTTTGGTATCATTTCTACCTATAGGTTGAGCACTTATCTGTGGTGGTTGATGCCACAGTGAAGTGGGAATAAAATGTACTTCATAACAGATCCTTACATGGGAAATGTGTTGCTAGGAAACAACGGATTTCAAGCTTACATCCTATCAGCTGTTGGTAACTCCTAACAACAAACACCAACATGACATAAACTTGAGTCTGTTTATAATGTTTCTCAATGTGTTTGTGGATGTGTGAAAACTGTAAAATGATCTATACGTTAGCAAAAACAGACAACCCTACTTGGACGACTACCAGCCTACTTTTCATCGTCTTTTGAACAGAAGTGTAATATCCTTGTTTGCTTTGTTCCCTGTTTGTCTTCCAGGTTTTATTTTCTGAAAACAAAGCTTGTGAACAAAATGCTGTTCACGCACAGAGAGACACACAGCCCACAGTCTGAGGAAAACAAAAACCATTGCAAGGAGTCTCATGAATGGCTGTTAGACATCTATAGCCTTTATATTTTGATCCAAACATCCAAACAAAGCTTCAGACACACTATGATACACCAAGGAGCAATTCAGATACACATGTGCACTATGACCCGTTAAAAACAACCACAAATCACACCATTCCTGTGTGTAAACCAACACAACAAGCACTGCATTGAGCACAAGTCACTCATAAAAACTTCCTGACCCCTGAGAAGTTCACACAGTTGCAGTGTTTACTTACAGTTCTCTCTGTCTGTCTTTGTTCAGGCCACAATTGGTCTTCTCCACTCCAGGTCCGACTCCAAGGGTTGATTCTTTCTGTGGACAAAGAGGGGAAAAAAAGAGCTGTCAGTGCGGCTATCTCAGAGGTCATCAAAGAGTTAACAGGCCGTGGGGCCGTCTGGAATAGGAGAGGAGAATGCAGGAGTGCCGGAGTAGTGAGATAAGGATGCTGGGATTTCACAGTTTATTCTCCAAAACCCCGACAGAACACACCAGCTCTTCAATAGGTTTGCCAAAAAGACTACAACAGAACAATTTAACAACCTGGCACAACATACAACACCTGCATCAGCGTGTAACAGTGAGTCACCACCACATGCGTCAGTTCTTCCTCTGTCTCGTCTGATGGGAAGTGAATAGGGGGAAGCTGCTGGCAAACCAGTGCACAGATAACAGCATTAACAGGATGGTGCCTCTTTGCAAATTTGAAAATCGACCTGAAATTTGAATCCTCCTCATTTTTTGAGTAAGGAATAGGCATGTCCTGACCAAGGTTTGTTGGCCCAGATCCGATTAATTTAACAATGGATATCTGCTGATTCAGAGTCCAATTGAACACTTATATTTACCCAAATATTTAGTAAAGATGTATTTGAAACATTTAAATAACAGCTATAGACAAGACCTGAAACAATTCCTCAAGAAACTCGAGTAACTCCATTACTGAAAATCATTAATTGCAATTATCTGAACTGAAGGTTTATTTAATCCAGATAATACAGTGCACTGTGTTTCACACTGATGATTATTACTATAGCACGACACACTTATGCTGTGGACATGTGACATGAAGAAGTCATCCCGTAAGACATGATTTGATGGCATGGATTGCAAAGTGGAGGAAGAGAGAGAAAATAGCAAGGGGCAAAGAGAAGAGACAGGCCAAAAAATGACCAAAGTTGGAGATTAGTTCAAACTGTAACAAAACGGAAACTCTGTACGGTGCGTCTATTTAAAAGCCGATCTAGCCTTCCAGAATAGCACACCATCAATGCTGCAACAACACAACAGAAAACATCCAGTCTGTACATCCAGTTCATGGAGCAGACCCAACACAAGGTCACATAAACATTAGCATTTAATGAAAATCAATATGAGTGCTGCTCTGTGTCGCTGCAAAGTGAACAGTAACATCTAGAAGTCCCTGCTAATCCACCGGTTGACATGAAACCCAAGGACCCCTGCTGGCAAATGAGCGAGGAGGTCCAGTCAGCACGGATGGAAGTCAAACACCTTTCATCTGCATGAACTGCCCACACTGGGGCGTAGTGTTGTCACGATACCAAAATCTTTGTTTCGGTACCAATACCAATATGAATTTCGATACTTTTCGATACTCTTCGGTACTTTTCCTAAGGAAAAGTCCTTTTGGATAAAAACCTTTAGAACAATAAATAGTAGGGGTGTAACGGTACCAAAAAAATCATGGTTCGGTAAGTACCTCGGTACGGACGTCACGGTTTGGTAACTCAAATGTTCCACCAAGTTTGTGTTGTCTAGTGTTATCTCCCTTTGCAAAACAGACTTTCTCTTGTCTTTTTTCACGTGCGCCAGCTGCGAATGTTGATACAGGTGTTGTCATACACACCACTTGGGTTCCAATAGGAACAAGAAAGGCGTTTGTGTGCATAAATGAGTAAAATAAATTAACTAAATTAATGAATTGAATCAATTTCAAAGTACCGGTATTTTCCAAATGCAGTATAGTACCGTTTGGAATACTCTAGTACCGCGGTACTATTTTAGTACCGGTATACCGTGCAACACTACTGGGGCGGCACAGAGCTGGATGGAAATCAGCAAAGTTTCCCTTTTAAGAATGTAAATAAATATGGTAGCTGGTTAGGCTTTCACAAACACAAACTATGTTTTGTTTTTTTAGCGAAACTGAGCCAACTTTGGGACATAACGACAGAAAATAAAATGCTGCCGTCAATTCATGAAAGCCTGAGCTTCATTCATGTTATTATTATAGTCACACAAAAATACACACACACACCAACTCCTCTCAGTGTGAGTGATTAAGAAAATATCCCAAAAAGCAAAATATCAGGTGGTGCAAGTAGCCAGCAGGTGTAAGAAGTCTAATCACTGTATGCAATTTGACCGATAATCAAAAAAGTGGATTTTAAAAGGGATGGAAACCAACAACTTGCTCATTTATGAGACTTGTCTTATTTTTTTCTTATGTTTATTTACTATTGTTCTTTTATAAAGCAGAAGTATTTCTTATCTGATTACTCAATTAATCAATAGATTCATTTGTAGAACACTTGATTGCTAAAAAAAAAATCAATAGCTGCAACCCTACTGGAGACTACTAACTCGGACACAATTTATTTTCACAGCCTTCTTCCTCCAAATACTGGAAGTCCTGATTTAAATCTATAACGCTTCTATGCTTAAATTATTGACATAAAATGAATGACTCATTAAACTGACGTGACTGTATGTCAGAGTCCCTGTGATCAATCTGACACAATCCATTCGTTCATCTAACGAAATTCTCATCCTTAAATCAACACTGCAGAAACCGTGCAATAGTGAACGGCTCATTTCTAAACCCTTGAGTTTAATTTGCTCAAGAGCAGTTCAAAACACAGATAAAGGTGTTTTAATATGAGAAATGGAGCTATTGGTTTTGGACAGCTGGGTACAAACATAATTAGACCCACTAGACTCCCCAGCAGCGATGACGAAGAGCTGGCTTGTGCAGAGAGAATAGGATTTCTAAGTTGAAGTAAACAAAACTGGATATGAACTTCCAGTTCTGGGAAATGAACAGATGCCCAGACATGCTATCCAGCTGTTTGACATTTGATAACCGTGAGACAGAAAGACAGTCGACAGAATAAAAAGCCTCACAAATCAGGATTCTTATATAGGCTTTTTATTTGCAATGAAATGCAGAATTGGGAGTCAAAAAATGCACAAACTGAAGCTCTGAGTGGACAACGAAAAACGTGCGGAATCTGCTTCTGGGGTATCCTGGAGGCCTAGTGGTTGGGACGCAGGCAATGTGGCCGTGGCGTCCCCAATTCTGTTCCAGGTGGAGACTTTTAATTCATGTCATACTTCTCTCTCTCCTCATGAAAAAAAGAATTATGTATATTATTATTATTATTAAATTATTACTCAGCCAGGGTCACTGACTTAAGAGTAGTTTACTAAGAAGGGATGCCACAGTGAGGAAAATTTCCCACCAGTTAATGAACAACACCTGTGTTACCGATCACACTGGACATTTTACAAGAAAAGATAATCGCTGTTCACATTTAATATCTGTAGAGTGCTAAGTTAATGTTAAATCAAATTTTACTTCCTGCTGCTTCACATTAAATCATTTAACTGGTGGAACAAGAGTTGGTTTTTATTATGAAGTAGTCACAGGAAATGCTGTGTGTTTATTAGTGAGATTAGCACTACCGCTATCATTCATCAAAAATGCATCTACAAAACAAGCCAACACTCATTTTCAGCTTTTTTTTGACAGAGGATCACTTTGAAATATTGCAGAGAGCAATGGAATAAGAAGGAGCAGCCACAGTGAGCTGGTGGATGAAGAGCTGCAGGCGACTGACTGCAACCTGCAACTTTTCAGTGATGTATCCAACTCCTTTCTATCATTAACGTTATCAGGTTCCCTATTAGCATTAGGTTTACATCCCAGCTATTGCCAAATATTTTGCTTTTGGCTTTGACACCAAATCCTCTGCCATCGTTTTGTTGGTCAACTCTCCAAAAGTGAAATTTGACTCCTGCCACTCTGTGCTGCCACTCTGCTGCTGCTGTACAGAGCAGACACTGAGAGTTTATAATAGTGGCGTCTGTCGTCTGACTATCAAAACGGTGGGTAATATAATCGGTGTATGACTAAAACAACATCTAACACCGGTAACACCCACTATCCCGACAACTAAATAGGCCTATACGCATATTTGTGATATACAGTGGGGGGTTATACTCGTGAGTGTGATCTCTTCACCTCTCTTTTAATTCAAACACAAAGGTTTGCCACTTCAGTTTTGCCCACTCGCCAGCCAACTCCTGTGTTCAGAATCAAAATAAGCCACCTTTTATCTCCTATTTCAGGAGGAATAACTCAAGAGCTTTCTAGGAAAAGTTCTGAATGTTTCCCAGAGGCCTTTATGTGAGACACGCACAGAGGTTATGGATGCCTGCAACTCCAGTCTGGGTCAGCTGTGTCGGGATGTGCCAAACAAAATGAGTCCACATGGAGGAATGCATCTGCCGTGTTTCCTGGCCTCGGTTCAGTTTGAGTAACTCTGGTCAAAATATGAGAGAAGCACTCGGTTATGCAACTTCAGTGAACAAAATCATTGCTCTCGTTGCTGGATTTGTTGCGGAAAAACAGTCATGTTTAGGACGATCTCTGTTCGCCCCAAACTCATTTTTTGTTCCCCTTGGACAATGGAACGATGTTAGTCACTGAGCCCTGCTTTTTAGCCTGCACAGAATTGACGTGACAATAGAAAACTTCGGCCACTGCCATGGGTGAACATCTTAGTGGCCAATAGACTAATGGCAGTCAACAGGCAAATATCGGCCAACACCAATGTTCTGCCAATAAATTTTTGTATCCCTGCTTCAAGTGAAATATGGACCTTTGGTTGTAGAAGCTTTAATTGTTTTGATTTCATTATGAAATATCTGGATGGTGTTGAATAAAAAGGATCATTGCTACATAATGAACAGTCTGTTAACATTATTAATAGCTGAATGGTAAATATTTTGGAGTGACAAATCCAATTTCAGATGCCTTTCCACTGTAATCTTAATATGCCAAAAACATTACACACTGTAGACTATAAATTGTTATTCCAACACGGTCGGACAAACCTGAGAGCTGTTACAACAATGTCTTTAATTCCTGTTGCAGGTGTGAACTTCGAGCCCAGTCTGGTTGACATGTTCTCACACAGCAGAGCAGCGAGTCTTACAGATTAATAATAAAACAGGCCTTGTCTAGTCACATTGGACCCGTGCTTAAGAGGTGACTCATCCTGGATTTAGTC